AAATAAAAAAACACTTGTCTACCTTAGGATTATGAATTATGAAGAAATACACAAAAACGCACCTTTTACAAATCACATAGCATTTCTGCCTCTAAACCCCATACTGAACCATATTAATCATTGTCTAAGCAGACACCACTACTCACTATGCTACTTCTTCCTTCAAAGTCAGGATGAAGCCTTGTAATTCCTTCCCAACCAAGAGCTATACAGGCAATGGCCCCGAACCAACTGAAGTCAGCACAGACACCATTTGTTATTTCCATCTCTGGGATTGATACACTAAGACAGAACAGTGCTGTATTATGAAGGCTGTAGTGCAATTTAAAATATCTACTTCAGCAGGGACTGTACGATATGACGTACGTGTGCTAATTTACCTCCATCCAAACACCCACTCCAGTGGTCAGCTAACAGGTTAACAAATACCACACTCAAGAGACAACTGCTAGAAATCCTTCTGCCCAATTACTATTAGACCTTTTGCTAACTGGCAAAATGGATCAAAGAAATGAGTTATACTTAGTGGGGTCATCAGTTTGTCAATCAGCATAAACCTTTCTCTGGTTGAATCCATAGATTCAAGAAAACTGGACTGGCTAATATATTATAGGGGGTCCCCCCACCCATGCATGAATAGGGTGTAATAATCAAGCAAAAGCCACACCTTGTGTTCCTGGGGGTGATAATATCCAAGACTTGGTCCCCTAAATGGCCGTATGACAAACCGCAGGGTCAAAGTACATCTGGTGGCCTGATGCTGACGAGGTTACAGAAACGTCACCCTAGAATTTTGTAGGCAGCTCGTATGCATTGCAGGCAAGATATGCAGGGTTCATCTGATGGACAAGACCGGTGAGTTTAGCATACAGTTTGCTTTGTGGACAGTTCTCCACCTACGTGCCAATAAATGTTAAATAAACGTCTGTGTGTCTGAGACGAGAAGTGCCAACTTTCACCAGCTTCCGACACTTGTATTACCTATGAAAAAGAATCCGATAGCTGTACGTGACCAAACTGCTGGGATATGGCACGTGTCTGTAGTGACAGGTAAGATTTTTTTCAAGCACAGCAAAGAAGAAGGTTATCCATTGAACCAGTGGACAAGAGTGAAGGTGTGGCTACGAAAAGAATTTCCTTCCGCTTTTGCCAACGGCCATGTGGCCTCACTGGAACCCCCTGAGCCACCTTTGCCATTGAGAAACAAGTAGGAGCTGACTGTGAGCTACTTCAAGACGACCAGGCAGCTACTTGGCAATTGAAACCAATTTCGGGAGGTGGTCGGAAGGTCCGTGGTTAGCGGTGGCACGGCTGCTGGAAAGCCATCTCAATAGGTGAGTCACGTCAGGCAGCTCTCTACACTTTCCGTCCGAAGTGAAAACGTTACGTGACATCTCCATCCCATGCAAATTCGACATGGACAGAACTCCTGCACCCGAGCTGCACGTATTTCCGGGTTTTTCAGACCCCGATGCAAGAACAAAGGGAATTTATTTTGACGTCCACTCGACTGCACAACTGACAAGCTTCCACCTATCCTCGTTGGAAGTGACTAATTTGCTGTGTAAGACACACTAAAAGGCACGTATCAAGTGAAAAATCTCACAGATTTCCATAAATGCTTTATATACGATGAATATGCTTGATGAAAACCATCTGCTTATGGGCTGATATCAGTATCTGGCTGTACCTATCTGTCTGAAAAGGCGTGTTCGAAAGGAAAACATAAAATTTTATCGTACATCTGCCTCAATAAATGTTTGCAATCCATTCTGAAGATATGAATGCTCCATCTGAACCCCAATCAAGAGAAAAGTAATTCCTCTCCCAAAAAACAGAATTCTGTTCTTCTCATTAGGCCTACATTACTGCACTCAAAATATTTGAGTTTTGTCAATAAAAATTTTGTAAAAATGTCTTTTCTTCTCTTTGTGTAAATAGCCACGTGTCTTGATTTTGCTTTCTGGTCCACAAAGCCTGAAATAGTTACTATCTGATTCCTTACAGAAAAAATCTGCGGACCCCTGAAATGGACTAAAGAATGAAGTAAATATATTGCTCTATTGACACTGATATGGAAATATCTGACATTTTAAAAAAGCAAACCTTACGGCAACGAGATGATATAATCCTATTTTTGCAATAAAATCCCTTTGTAACATCTACCCTCACACCCTCACTGGGCACCCCCCCCCCCACACACACACACACAGAGTCTCGAAGGAATTACAGTGAACCGGTGACAGCAACTGCTTCTAGCAGATGCTCCACAACCAGTTGGTTCACGAAGCATCCAGGGTGACGTGCAACTGAGAAAGCCCATCTGGTGACTCCCCTGTTTAAAACCCCCAGGGGCTTCTCAATCACACTTCAAAACCAAACAAAACCACTCCAAGTCTTGTCAGGTACTAGAGCCCTGGGGATCTGGCTCCTGGCCATCTTTCTAGCTCATTTCCTCCCAGGCTTCCTTCAGCCCAATGAGCTGCAGCTGCACTGGCCTCGGTGCAGTTCCTGCAAGCACTTTCTACCCCAGGGCATTTGTACTTGCTGTTTCCTCAGGCTGAAACATAATTCAAGCAGTCACAGGACTACCGGCTCTGCGATGTCTGGTCTGAGGTCTCAGGTCACCTTACCCTAACTGCCCGCACTGCTGTGGTGCTGTGTATCATCAGGCTCACTGATTGACGTCATGCTTGCCTTCATCCACTGCGTCTTCCTCACTAGAACATGACCTCTATGCAGGGCACACACTGTTTGCTTCCCTGACATCTTCCAGCAAACTAGACAAGTGCCTGGGACACAAGAGGTGCACAGCTAAGAGCTGTCATGGGAACTCACAGGAGGAGGTACCCGAGGGTGGGAGAGCAACATTTACTCGAAGCAACTTCTGTTACTGCGAGCATACACTTGTTTACAAAATTGTTCATAAAATTAGAGAATAAAAGTCTAAAATGAAAAAAGTACTGATTAATATGATTTCAGAGATTATTTAAAAAAAATTAAAAGTTTCTCCCTCTGTTCCTGTTCTCCTCACGTTTCTTACTGACTCTTTCTGTAACTTGTGCTTGTAACCTTTAGTGCCACCTTCTACCTTCCATACCGACAAGGGCAATGAGTACAAGTGAACTGAAAGCAGAAATTGAAAAAAGACTTTTATTTCAACATAGAAGACTTGGAGGTACCGCTTCATGTACAGAGTATTATTCCTGCTCCACAACTGAGCACACAAGCAAGGTCTAGAGTAAGCTGCAGGCTCTGTGCTTCCACCCCCGTGGTACGTTCCCAGACAGAGGTGGGACACCGGCTGAGCTGGTAACAGGCAATTTAAACCCATCAGTGGGTCTTGATTTTATCACAACAAAACAAAGGGATTTGGTTTAGGCTAGACAATACAGAAGTCTCTCCAGCCCTTCAATGCAATGATTTTCTGTCTTTGTGGAATGACATCAAACAAAGTGACCCTACAAGACATCCTTACATTAGAGGGCATAGAACGTCTGTTTCTCGGAGTGAAGTTCGGTCACACCAGGGCCCTGGCTGCACACCGCTGTGTGACAGCCCACATCAGATGAGGCCGACATCTGCAGTCCCCTGGAGCGCCCAGTGCTGGCCCCTCGGGGTTTTCCACGTGCTCCAGGCCCCAGGGGACTGTGGACGCGGGGGAGAGTGCTACAACATCCCGCCTGCAGGGACAACCGCGCTCTTTCTGAACGACGTCGGGGCTGCGGGGTGCGCCTCATGTCTGCAACCAGCCTTTCGTCCCCCGAATTTATATTTTCACATCATTGAATATTATTCAAAGGCTTTAAAAATAAACAAGATAAAAACCGAAGAAAATGAGAACGTAAGCTTTAAGAACAGGATACTCTTCACTACCAAAATAATTCTATATATCTACTGTTTTATATTAACCTTAGAGTCAACATGATTTTAAAATAAATATTTTGAAAACACATACTGAGGCTAACACAAGATATAGTTTGTCAAATGTTATATATTTTCGGAAAGCTAAAATATTAAAAATATACAAAATTAATCCTCTGTGAGGCTATTCTGGGGACTTTATACCCAAGGAAAAGATCTACAGCAGTGATTATTTCAACCCCTATAACTTCTGCATCTTGAGAAGGTTAGTTAAAATCATAGGGTAAGCAAACAAATAATCAAGGATAAAGTTAGTCTTATGGAAATTTCAGCTTCATCTTTCGGTAAACATGGTTAAAGTTCAAGATTTCATCACTTTTGATTGCTGAAATTTATCTGTGCTTGTAATCAAAGTGTAAAATAAAATGTCTTCTATTGTTGCTACTTTTGCTACAATTACACAGTTTATTACGATGGCTACAGTTAAATTACACACAGAAATAAAAGTCTATTTAAATCACAGCTTAAAGCAAAGTAAATAGAAGCCAACGAGGCCTGTTACGATAAACTTACCCTGAGCAAAAACGTTAAAAACATTTTTCTTTATAACTAACACTGCCCCAAGTTTCTTCAAAATAAATACTGCTAACATATTTCCACAGTTCCTTTCTCGTACCTTCTCTTTTCCTGGTGGAAGCAATGCTCACACTGCCTTACTATCCTCCTGGCATCAAGAGCCTCACTCCTGTGAGCAGAGAGATGTTCAAACCCTCCGTCAGAACGCCTGTCTGCACACCAGCCATGTTCCAGGAGGAGGCTGCATGCAAACAGGGGAGCACCTGCTCTGGTTGACTTCGCACGTCAGGCTTCACTCACTTGTCACCCACATGGAAAGGCTTGGAGAAACGTATTCCTAACAGCAGATTGGACCAATGAGCCTAGAAATACCACGGGGCGGTGAGCCACCTTCTCCTAAAGAATCTATCACTGGAAAACATCAAACACCCGTTCTTTAAAAATAAAAAAAGGAAAAAAGCAAACACTTTAATTACGAAAAGGCTGTGGTGACTTCACAAGACGGACACACCGTCCCATATTCCCATAACCAAGACACCTGGAAAAGGAGATTCACGTACTTTCACTGCATCCTCTGGACACATCTTCCCTCTGTTGGGCGGAGGTGTCCGCGGTGCAGTCGCCTGCAAAACCCAGCCGGTCGTCAGGCTGCGTTCCACCGCAGGACTCCCGCTTCGTCCGAGGGCAGTCTTCTTTCTGCACGCTCCCCACGCCCATCAGCTCTCTGGCTTCCGCGCTGCCCCCTTCCAGGGGACGTGAGTCCCCGTCAGGTCCTTTCCCGCCGAGCCCGTCCGCAGCAGGCAGTGCGTCGTGGACCGGAGAGTCTGCGCCATCTGGGCGCGTACCCTCCCCTCTCTGAGCACCAGCCTGCGGACGACTCCCTGCGGTTTCCTCAGCGGCCAGGCAAGCCCACGCTGCGTTTGCTTTGTCACGTGTGGGTTTCTCAAGACTGCGGCGACTTTGTGCCGTTAAATCGCTCGTGGGGGCTGGGCTGGGATTTTTCCCAATGCAGGAGAAGTCAGACGTCTGCAGTATGTTCCTTCTCTCCCCCCGAGAGAGGCCTCTGCAGATGAAGAGAGCAGGGCCCGCTGACGACTGACACCCGGGGAGAAGACTGTCCGAGCTCCTCTCCTTGAGGTTGTCCGGTGAAAAGTAATCGTCGTACGAGGACACGCCGCAGCCAGGAGCCTGGGCAGCAGCCCCGGGCCCGAAGTGCAAGCGGTCCCCCGACGCGAGGAGCCACTCCTGTGACATGCCGGGTTTCCCGCGGCATCTCTTCTTTAGTCTTCCTGTCGGGGACGAATCTGAGATCTCAGACTTTCTTCTTCTCTTCGCCGAGGAGCTCTCAGATCGTGAATGTCCCCAAGGGTGGTGTTCTGTCGCAGATAACATAGGGGGCAGACCGTGTTTCATGCCAAACACCTCCCTGGGTGCTCCCCCGGACCACGTGTCGGGGGTGACCGCTTCACCCGCAGGATCCCTCTGCCGACTTACTTCTTGTTCTGAAAGACGGCCCGAGGGATTCTGAGGAGTTAACTGGCTGAGGTGACCAGCAGGTGCCGACGAATGAACACTACCGGTCTTCAGTGCAGGTGAAGGATCAGCAGGTGCTGACGAATGAACACTACCGGTCTTCAGTGCAGGTGAAGGATCAGCAGGTGCTGACGAATGAACACTACCGGTCTTCAGTGCAGGTGAAGGATCAGCAGGTGCTGACGAATGAACACTACCGGTCTTTAGTGAAGCTGAAGGACCAGCAGGTGCCGATGAATGAACACTACCGGTCTTCAGTGCAGGTGAAGAAACACACACACCACTTCTACTTTCGTCAACGACTTCTCCCACTCTCCTCTCCTGACTTCCACACCCTGAGTTTCCAGAAAGATTGTCAAAAGATGAGTCCAGAGCACCAGCAAAGGATTCATCTGGAAAACATCAGTAAAGAATTAACTTTTAAGATGCTTTCAATTATTACAGAAGTAATTTTCAGTTAACCGATACTTCTTAAACATTGCTACTGGTTAAAGACAGTATCAACCACATCCACCTGAGGACCCCTTTAGGACCAGCATTTTTCACTAACGAACCCAGGCGTCAGCGTGTGCATGGACAGCACGGGGTGGGGGCGGGAGGCAGGGACAGACCTCCACCACCATCACGCTCACCTTCTGTACATTCACATGCATGTGCACGTGTTTTCAGAAAGAGCATTGGCACCTTGTTCAATTCTCAAGAAGGTCAATCATTCTAAAAGGTTAGGACTAACACCATGGTCTAGGTCAAGTTCTAGCCTTTCGTGAACACAGCCCACCGACCCCCAGTCCTCCACTCAAAGCCTCATGTTGTATTTATATCCAACAGTGAACCACCAGGTAGATGGTAGGGTGCTGTCTTCCCTTGTGTCTTGTACATTTCTTGAGAGTAGTGCTAAGTTGACCGCCTCCTGTCTCCCGAAAACTGCAAGCGTGTGTGTCCCTCCAGGCCCTGCCTTCACCCCACACTTTAATCTGGGTAATACCTATCCGTACTTCAAACCCTCCCCCCACCCCTCAAACGTGCCTATCTCTGAACCCTCCCGCTGCACCAGGTCTGGTTGCACACATCCTCCTCTAGTATGCAGAATGCTGCCTGAATTTCCCAAAAGCAGGTGTCCTAGTGTTCTTATTATTCCTATCTGTCCCTCTCACTAAACTGGAAGTTCCCAGTACACAGACCCTATTTTCTGGCATCTGAGGCCTCGAGCCCCACAGAGGTGATCCACAGGGAGCAGCGAAGCCCACAGGGCAGGGAGGTGCTGTACCCACACCGAGTCAAGGAGCCTGTGTGTCCCTAAGTCAGGAGCAAGAAACAGAGGACACTTTTAATACCAGCAGCTGAAGACGCTTAGCACACTTTTCAAAAAGCTGACAAGCAGTGAGACATGTCATTGGGCATAAATTCTGAGGTCACACTGCCTAGGTTCAGGTCCTGGACTGGCCAATCACAAACTCTATGAACTTTTACGAGCTGCTTGACCTCGCTGGCCTAGTTTTCTTGTGAACAAAATGGGGGTGACAAGGGTAACCATTTAGTAGGGCTAGTGGGGGAGTTAAATGAAACACAGTATGTAAGATACCCAGAACAGCACCTGTGACACAGGAAAAATGAAATCTGTGTTACATACTATTACTTGTGTCCAACTTAGGTAAAATAAATCCATCAAGTGTGAAATAAAAAGATTATTTAAGATAAATGGGTAAGTAATTCCAACACACACCAAACAGATTATAAAAATAAGCCACACATGGGACACCTGGGTGGCTCAGTTGGTTAAGCATCCGACTCTTGATTTCGGCTCAGGTCAGGATCTCACAGTTCGTGAGTTCGAGCCCCGCTTCCACCTCCATGCTGATGGCACACAGTCTGCCTGGGATTCTCTCTTCCCCTCTGCCTGACCCTCCTGAGCTCTCTCTCTCAAAATAAATAAATAAACTTAAAAAAAAAAAATAAGCCACACACACATGAAAGGGAGCTGTAGTTTAAACTCCTAATACCTCCACACTGTTCTGTCATCTATCCCTGCTGTGACTTTCATAGGATATTCTGTAACATTTCAAGCACTTTGAACAGCTAGCTCTTTGCGGGGGTCAGTGATTCTTATCTGGGCCCTACTGTCAGCTGAAACTAGGTGGTTATATCACATTTCTTAAAATTTACTCAAAGGAAAGCTATAAGCATGAAAAATGATCATTCAAAGCATAACACAGGCTTCCACATTTAAAAGGTGTATGTATAATATATAATTCTAATTTTATTCTAATACTTGGCTAAAATGTCTTTTTATTGTTTATGTATTTTTGAGAGACAGAGACAGAGCACAAGCAGGGGAGGGGCAGAGAGACAGGGAGACACAGAATCTGAAGCAGGTTACAGGCTCCAAGCTGTCAGCACAGGGCCCGAAGCGGGGCTCGAACTCACGAACCGTGAGATCATGACCTGAGCCGAAGTCGGACACTTGACCGACTGAGCCCCCCAGGAGCCCCTCCAATACTCTGCTTCCAAACAGAAATCCATCTATCTTCTAAATTTCTCAATGATCTTTCCACACCTCACGGACACTCAGTCATATGCTCCTTGTAGTCACGATATACGGTGTGAAACAAGCAGCCCTGTGTTGTCAGTAACACAGTCTACAATGCATGCGAATTAGTACTTATAGCACGGATTTTTTTTTTAAACAATGAGCAATAGTTTCTGCCAAGAGAGCAAATGCCTGGGAGAAAAACCGTAGGAATCCCAGGTGATTTAACTGATGAAATTTCTCATACGCTAATTGCATTACAATACCTATTTTTTATTACCTAATTCCAGTGAAATTCATGAATTCTAGTTTCTAGCTGTTCTTCACATCAGAAGAAACTCCAAATACGAAAATCATAATATTCTCAAAGTTTAAATATATCACAGAAAAGAAAATAACCTTACCTGAACACAAAGTATCACGTGAAATGTTCCAAGCTTCACACGGGGACTTAAACGGGTCATCGTGAGACTTCTCAAGCAGCTGGGAAGCTGAAAACATAACCGAACCCTTCATCAGATGCACCTCTGACTCGTGGGAGCCCACGGCAAACCCACTCGTTCTGTTGTCCCACACCATACCAACATCGATTTATGCCTGTTAGCTCACACTCCCGACTTACTACAAAACGGTAAGCACAAAAAACTCTTACTCAAATCTACTGCAGATGGTGAGATTCGTAAAAACTAATCTACACAAGTCATGTTTTTTTAATTTTATTTTTTAATTTTATTTTTTTCATCTTTGAGACAGAGAGAGACAGAGCATGAGCAGGGGAGGGGCAGAGAGAGAGGGAGACACAGAATCCAAAGCAGGCTCCAGGCTCCGGGCTGTCGGCACAGAGCCTGATGTGGGGCTCGAACTCACGGACCGTGAGATCATGACCTGAGCTGAAGTCGGATGCTAAACTGACTGAGTCACCCAGGAGCCCCTACATAAATCATGTTATAAAAAGGATTAAATTTAGGATAATTAGAGTTAGAAGAGATTTTGAAAAGTCAGTTTGCCTGGGCCTAAGCAGAAGCCCAACAGAGGTAAAGAAATATTCTCAATTCATCTTGTTGTCTGATAGTCAAGGCTCCTTCTTTTAGAAGCAACCGTTAGCCCTGTAACTAGAGCAGCGGTTCTAAGCCCTGGGCATCTTGGCTCCCAGCGGGTGACGGTCACGTCTGCAGACATCACTGGATGTCACGTGGGTGTGACCTGAATACTGCTGGTGTGCAGTGAGTGGGCAGAGGCCAGGGATGCTGCGAGACACCCTGCCAGTCACAGGACAGCACCTTCCCACCACCCCTCACGTGCCCTCAACAAAGAATTGATCAGCCCAAAATGTCGATAGTGTCAAGGTTGAGAAACCTCAGAGATTTCACAGAAAAAATCCAGGACATCAATCACTCAACAAGTAAGGTCACAAATATCATCTTCAAAGGCTGTGCAGACGACAAACCAGAAACAAGAAAGATGTTTTGGTCTCATACCCAAAGATGTTTGTTAAAGAGACTCACAGCATGCTTTCTTGAGGAAACATAAGCAGACAATTTAAACCAAGATAAAAGAGGTGAGCACACAGAGAAGTGTTTCAGATGTTGAATTCTGAGCTGTGCTGGATGCAGTCAAGTGGCAGAATTCACACCGCAAAGTAACGGCACAACGCTTGAGGCATATAAAGTATACACGTGATGAGACAGTAAGCGGAACACTGCTCGCTCCCTAGCTCCACATCCACGCCCCCCTCCTCTTAACAGAAACCTCATTCTATCAGTGTAGCCACGCTCTCGTAAAAGACCGTTTTCAGCCTTGTTTGTAGTCTCCTTCTCAGGCTAAATCTACTACAGTCCCCCTTTGGCTGTCATCCTGGGTGACACTGGTCATCAGGCAAATCAAACTACGTGGATGAACACAATACAAAGGACTGTGCTTTACTTCTTGGATTATCTGGAGTCGTTTTTTGCCTCTACAGTTCTCTAGCCATAAATGCTTACAACCAAGAAGAGCTGTAAGACTGAGTCCTATTGGATCGAACTTCTGGTATACCAGGTTGCCCACAGGAAGCTAGCTCAGCTGGGAGGCACAGACATTTTAAAGCGGAAGCCAGACACCAAAGAAGACTAAGCAGAAAAATGAGACACAAGACTCTTGAAAACCACGGAATAGCCACCCTATGACTTGTGCTTAGGACTCCTTTGACGTGGCGGAAACACGCACCTGTATCTAATCTGAGCCACTGGTTTTGTTTGTTACACGCGGCCAAAGCTAACCTTAACCGATACAGGTGCCCACTGCACATTCACATACAAATATAAATTCAAGATAGGCTGAAATAAACCATAAAGGTAACAGGAAAAGACACACAACAATTTTAAAACCTTGTGGTGGGGGAGTTCTGAGCGTCAGGGGAATCCTGGATGCCCTAAGGAAAAAACGAACAGATTTGTCTACATTAAATGTAATGTTTCTACTTCATAAAAGTTGCTGCATGTTAAATGAGAAAACAAAAGATTTTGAGTATTTCAATCAACAATATATTTACCGAGTGCCTACTACGAATGCACACTGGGCTCCACGCTAGCCACGAGAAAATGTTGCAACATATGACGATTATTGTGCATGATATAAAAAAGACCCTTACAAATCAGAAAAACAGGCAACTGAACAAAAACATATAATTCACAAAGATAATGCAAAAGTTGTAATTACTGATAGAATCAATAACATGAAAATATGTTCCTCTCATAAAAGTGACCTCGAAAGCTAATTAAACAAAGAAATGCGGTTTTTCTATCCCAAACTGAAAAAGATACGGAATCACACCATTTTCCCAAACCTGGAGAAACTGGTTCATAAACAGCGGGCGACGGTAAAATGCCATTTTGAAAGGCAAAAATTTTAAATTCCATCTTTGTGAATTAATACTATTGAAATACACAGGACTACACAGATTTACTGAGAAGCAGGTCTACTGGCATACGGATTGTAACAGTGAACAGGAAATGGAAAGCCTTATGACCACAAATAGGAAAATGGTTAAACAAAACACAAGAACCATACCATGCAATTTAAGAAGAATAAAGACTTGCAGTACTATTTCTTTTTTTTTTTTTTTAATTTTTTTTTTCAACGTTTTTTATTTATTTTTGGGACAGAGAGAGACAGAGCATGAACGGGGGAGGGACAGAGAGAGAGGGAGACACAGAATCGGAAGCAGGCTCCAGGCTCCGAGCCATCAGCCCAGAGCCTGACGCGGGGCTGGAACTCACGGACCGCGAGATCGTGACCTGGCTGAAGTCGGACGCTTAACCGACTGCGCCACCCAGGCGCCCCTGCAGTACTATTTCTAATAAAGAAAAATTGGGAAAACCTCCACTAACAGACGATTCAGTATCCAAACTCTAAACTACTCCACAACATCTCAAAAAGAGAAAAGAAAAGAAAGGGAGAAGGAGGGTCCATACCTATTGATTTGGAAAAAACCTCCAAGCCACTTGTAAGGTTAAAAAAAAAAAAAAAAAAGGCTTAAAATAATAGGTATGCCAGATTCAATTTAGGTGAAGAAAGACTACAGGTCCACAGCACACAGAAAGATACAGAAGCCTGTGCACGTAGGCGTATGCCACACCAGAAACAATGTGGAAAAACACGCCAACTTAAAATGTGGGTTACCCGTGGGCGGAGGAGAATTTGATGGGAATCCAGATGGGTGTTCACTATGAGCCACATGCTGGTAAATGTTTTATGAAAATGTGCTCACACGTTATTTAACCGGAAATTTTAAAGATAGCCCAAATAAAGAAAAACATAAACTCATGCAGGAGATAATTAGTCTAAAGCAAATTCTCTCAAAAGAAGAGCCTGGTTTATTATTTAAAAAAAAAGAAAAAAAAATCCCAAAGATATTAAAAATCACAAAAGGGCTACAAAAAATAGATTCTCAACCTATACATCCAAAAAGTACACGCCCAATATATGCTTAAAATATATGCTTTAAAAATCTTAATGAAGCCTAAGATTTTCTGGAGGAAAATATTAACACAGTCCACCCTGAAAGAGGTAAAAATCTATTAGAATCAGGAAACAAGTGAAGTATCTAGGGAAGAAGGAAAAAACCTTCCCCCCCCACAGTTCACTCAGCAAGTGCTCTGCTCCCTTTATAAAGTGTGCACACTTACAGGTAGGTGACAGGTTCTCCCTTTTCTCCTTCATCTGCTGTAACCTCTTCTGCATGGTGTTGTGCTGGCCGCTGCACATTTTAATTGTGGGACTGTACACCAATGAGCCATTAGATTCAAATAAGAGAACAGGGACATCATTATCTGAAAATAAACAAAAATCCAATTTTAAGCTTTAAAAAAAAAAAAAGCCTTCTTACTGCAACCATCTGATTCGTTTCAAGGGAACACCCCACGGCCCATCCCCACGGTCCTCCTCCTCCCCTTCACCATCATCACCTACTACGGCCAATGCTCTGTCATCAGCCTACCACCTCCACAATCATCAACCCTGGCACTAAAACTGCTGACATCTGCTGAGAAACGCCCACCTGCCAGGGACTGTGCACTAAGCACTATCCGTGCACCATTTCATTCAACCTCTCCCCAAACCGTGCAGCAGGTATCAGAATTTAAAGATGAAGAAACCAAGAAACAAAGTTAATTTATTTGTATGTGCCCAGGCTCACACACCTAGTGAGAAGGGAAAGCCAGAACGCAATCTGGCTCCGAACTGTTGGTGAGGAGAGGCGGGGTACGTCACCCCAAATGTGCTGCTTTGGCAAAGGGGTTACCATGGGCAAAGTGTAGTCACATAACAGCAGGTGAAAAGAAAGGCACTCTGACACCCCCCAGCCCAGCTTCTTCCTCAAGACAGGAGATAAAACTCCCCTTTGAGAGGTGTACCCCCTGCACATTATCACCAGGGATGGGGAGCTGAGGCCAAGAGAATCCTGTAAAACAGACCTTGTTAAAATAACCCGTGTTCTCTTTTGGTCCTTCTTATATGTCACTCTTCCACGGCTGCCCCTCTCTGTTCAACGTCAGCATGAAAGTTCTACCACTGCGTTGGGCCTTCAATTCCTTTGAGAGCCCCCATGTCACAGAAAACGTACAAGCATGTACACTTTTCTCCTGTTAGTCTGTCTTCGGTAACAGATCCCCAGCTGAGAACCGAAGATGTGTGCGGGGTAAGTTCTCTCTTCCAGTAGTTTTCAGCCTGGGTTATAGAAACCACCACCACTCACCAAGCCTCCCTGACCTCCAACACACGTGCACACACACACACATGCACACACAAACACACGAACTCTGAGGTCAGGAGTCCTCAAGCCATGAAATGAGGGCTAAATTGTGTGTCAGTGCACAGGTGTGCCTTTTTCTGGAATCCGTACCTTGCTCAAAGAGAACTTTAGGGTTCTGACCACCTCCCCTCATCCACCAAACAAAAAAACCCACCAAAAATCATTCAGTATCTTCTCCTTTGTGACTCTTAAGCCTGAACAACTCTAACTACAATTTTGACAATATGCAGACATATGTCAGTTGTATCTTTAACACCTTTTATTTGCAGTATGTTGATTTTTATTAAGATATAAATTTGATTTTTTATCTATCAGTACTTTGCCCAACTCTTTTCAAATCCAGCATCACTGGTGTAGGAAGAAGCCCAAATGGCAAGAGGATGAAGGAGGCAGAGAGGTCTGGTACTGCCGTGAGGCTGGAGAGGAGACCGGATCAGAGGCCATGCTGTGCCGCAGGACATGTTAAAAACAGGGTTTCATCCGAAAGACGCTTCCTGACCATGACACTGTTGACGCTGAAGCCCTAGGTGGGGTGTCCCCCTGACTTCTGGTTTACACCCTTCTGACCCTAGTCAGGTGACAGATGGTAAGGACACAGTGCCTCACGGGGCCCAGTCAAGGAGCCGCATGAAGGGCTCATATGGGGTTGATGCAGGCTTAGAGGGAATCAAGCAATCACTCGGAAGCAGGAGTCAGGATCCTCGCAAAGAAGGGGCATCAGGCAGAAAGTGACATCAAGAACTACCGCGTGTTTCTGGCTGGAGCAGCACAGCAGACCGGACGGTCAGAGTGAGGCTGTAAAGGAGGGACCAGTACAGCACAAGAGAAAGACTTGACTCTCGGACAGGGGATGACTCAGCACGAGAATGAACGATACAGGCACGGTGTGTGGACAATTATCTGGCAGCACCATGCAGGCCAAATGTTCGTCAATTCTGCTGTGTTACTATGACAGATTCAAAGCAATGCTTGATAATTCTACATAAAAAATTTCAGAACACAGAGAATTTGTGACATGGCAACATACACTAAAACAAAAAACTAGAGAAATGAATGTTTCCTTTTTCTATGCTATACACTATATAGTTACCGAAATTGCTTACATGCATCAATGGCATGTTGGGACTGGCCAGAAACCCTAAATTTAGGTGGTGAAAAAGGCAAAAAAGAGAAATACAAAAAACACATATAGTACTTTAGAGTTTCATGAGGTCCTAAAGTATTTCTCTAAATCATTAAAAGAACACATGTAGGGGTGCCTGGGTAGCCCAGTTAGTTAAGTGTCCAACTCTTCTTGATTTCAGCTCAGGTCAGGATCTCATGGTTCCTGAGTTCGAGCCCTATGTTGAGCACTGACAGCCTCAGTGCTTGGGATTCTCTCTCTCTGCCCTCCCTCCTCTCTCTCTCTCTCTCAAAATAAATAAATGAACTTAAAAAAAAAAAAGAATACATCTAACAACAACAACAAAAAAAACTTCAATTTTAAAAATGGGCAGAGGATCTAAACAAGACATTTTTCCAAAGAAGATATATAAATGGCCAACAGGCACATAAAAGAGACTCAACATCATTCAACACCAAGGAAATGCAAATCAAAATCACAGTGAGATTCCAACCACATATTAGAACAGCTATCATTAAACAGATAAGAAATAACAAGTGTTGGCGAGGACGTGCAGAAAAGGAACTCTTGTACACCCGTGACAGAAATGTAAATTGGTGCAGCCGTTGTGGAAAACTCTATGGAGGTTTCTCAAAAAACTAAAAACAGAACTTCCATATGATCCAGGATTCCACTTTTGGAAACCTACCTGAAGGAAACAAAAACACTAATGTGAAAATATATCTGCATGCCCATTTCACTGCAGCATTAATTACAAAGGCCAAACAAAGAAACAACCTAAATGTCCATCTATGGATTAAGGGAACCGTGGGTATGTGTACACACACACACAGGACTATTATTTGACCATTAAAAAAGAACAAAACCTTGCCATTGATGATAACATGGATAGGCCCTGAGGGCATTATGCTACGTGAAATAAGTCATTTAATGAAAAAGATAATACTATATGTTATCTCTTATATGTGTAATCTATAAACAAAATCAGAAAACAAAAACAGAAAAACCAACCTCATGGATACAGAAAACAGACTGGTGGCTGTCTGAGGCCCGGAGCCGGGGAGTGAGCAAAATGGGCGAAAGGGGTCGAAAAGCACAAATTCCCAGTTGTAAAACGAGCAAGGCATGGGGGTGTGATGCACATCAGGGGGGCTACAGTTAATACCGTACTGAAAGTAGCTGGGAAACTGGGTCTTGAAAGTTCTATCCTGAGGAAAAAAATGTTTTATAACTATGTATGGTGATAGATGTTAAGTGGACTTGTGATCATTTTACAATATACACATCGGATCACTATACTGTACATCACAAACCAGTATGTTATACCAATCAGACTTCAAAAAAACCCCAGAAATGATTCTATGACTAAATACATTAAGGACAAAATATCTCTATTTTTTGATTCCACAGAAGCAGCCTGTTGCTACCAGAAATGAAAAATGTAGGTAACTGATCTTCTACAGTGAATACAGAATATTAAAACCCTTGTGCAAGGTGCAACCATAAACAAAAGTGATTGTGCCGCTGTTCCAGTGCTGTAATGTTTTACAAGTAATTCAAGACAGGAATAGAGTATCTTGAAGGCAAGTAATGCCTACACAGAGAAAAAAGAAATACAAAAGCTATATAAACTACAAATGATGTCTACATAAAAGCATCAGGGAACCACTGAAGAGAGCAGGACCAGATGAGTCAAGATTCTGGAGAGGGGGAATGCTCAGAGGCCAGCTACTAAGCAGAGGATGCCTTCACCCCCAGGAGGATTTATCATTAAAGGGCCTGGGGCAAGAGGCTGAAGGTCTGGTCTTTGTGCACAAAGAGAGCAGTTGCCGAGAAATAAAAGTACAAGCAAAGAGAAGACAGAGCCAACAGTTTGTCAGTATCAACAAACTCAAGAGAAAACCGAAAGCTTCCCCACTGAACAGGGCAGAGTAGAAATGCAGTCCTTGCATGCATGTGATTTCACCCTGAAGAAAGTTGCCAAACTCTGAAGCTACAAGAGGCAGGATCCCAAAAGCGAAGCAGTGTGTGATGTAAAGTTCTCTGTGGTTTATTTTCTCTGGAAGCTGAGAGCCAGCCAGGGGAAGGGGTCCTAGTTACGACTGCAGGCTCTCAGTGGAAAGGTCTAGATGGCCACAGCCTGGTATCACTGTCATATCAGAAGTCTACCAAGCCTTACCAAAATCCGAGAAGTTCCTATTCAAATCAGTCCAGATAAAGCCTACTGGAAACTCGGTATCTAAGAAAGTAATATTGCCTAGAGTTTCAAACATACTTTATAACTAATGACTTGCCTTCAATTACAAAAGCCATCATTCCTACTGAGACAGGGCTAGATGACAAAAGGCAGGAGGAAAAAAACATACAAAACAACAGAGCAGAGGCATTCAAGATCTTGCAGATAAGAAGAAAAAATGTGAGTGATTTAATCAGAATAGCAGAATCTATTACAAAAAGGGAAACCCTAGAACTGCAAAATAAAATAACCAAAATTATGAACTCAAAAGATGAGTTTTATAGCAGATTACACGAAGCAGAACGTATTAGTGAACTGTAAAGAAAAGGTCAATAGACAATATAGAAACTGATACACAGAGGGGAAAAAACAATTCAAGCACCTCTGTGAACTCCAAGTAGGATATTTAAAAAGAAAACTGGCCCATGAACATAAAATTCAAACTGTTGAAGGCAAAAAAGCAAACAAAGTGCAGAGTTAAAAGGAAATAACTTTAAAAAAACAAAAATATAACTGTGGGCTAATTTGCAAATAGGTATCATGAAAACTCAAAGACAACAGAAATATGTTTCTTCTTTTTTTTCCAGCTTTACTGAGGAATAATTGACAAATAAAAATTATATATATTTAAGGTGAAATTAAAAAAAAAAGAATTGAGGCACCTGGGTGGCTCAGTAGGTTAAGCATGCGACTTCAGCTCAGGTCATAATCTCACGGGTCCATGGGTTCAAGCCCCGCATCAGGCTCTGGGCTGACAGCTCAGAGCCTGGAGCCTGCTTTAGATTCTGTGTGTCTCTCTCTGCTCTCCCCTCACTCTCACTCTGTCTCTCTCTCTCTCTCAAAAAATAAACATTAAAAAAAATTAAAAGAAAAAAAAAGAACGTATCATCTAACATTTGCCTATTTTGAGTAACAAAACAAAAACACCAAGTATGAGGTAAAACTACAAAGTTAGATATAAAATAACAAAGAAATAAACAGGAACTTATTAGAATAGGGCTTCTTAGTCAAAATCTGTTCTTCCATAATGATTCCTGAAAATAAAAAGTTCTATCAATTTGGTGAGCAACCCCAAGACTGCGTGGCTGATTAGCTCAAATCCACGGCCCCACAAGCAGCCACAGTCAAGCTTCCGCAGGCTGGACCTACGGAGTCCCCCCTTACCAGTGTCCACCCTGGATGCCACTGGTCATCAGACAAATGAAACCAGACGTCCACCAGAACAAGTGCCCAGGACCACGCTGTCTGTCTGGACTCACCCAGAGTTGTTTTTTGCCTCTGGAGCTCTGTAGCCATTTTCTGAAATTTCTTCTGAAGTCTTTTATCATGTTCTGGCGTTTTAGGAATAAAATCTTTGGGCTGCATACACTTACGCTGTGCAAAAAGGACATAAAAATGAATACTTTATTGCAACCCTTTCATGTGCATTTGGTATCTTTTATAACACTGCAAATAAAACCATCTTAAAGAGGTACTTCTTGCACTGCATGTGAAATAGCAACAGTCATTTCTTTCTGTGCATCTGTAAAAATATCAGAATTTTAAGAATAAATACAAGGCTGTGCTCTAAGTAGCTCTGTTTTCTCAGGCATTTTCTCCTGACATGCTCCCAGCATTCTTAGTTTCCATGAAAGTTCTTTTTTTTTTTTTTTAAATTTTTTTTTTTTCAACGTTTATTTATTTTTGGGACAGAGAGAGACAGAGCATGAACGGGGGAGGGGCAGAGAGAGAGGGAGACACAGAATCGGAAACAGGCTCCAGGCTCTGAGCCATCAGCCCAGAGCCTGACGCGGGGCTCGAACTCACGGACCGTGAGATCGTGACCTGGCTGAAGTCGGACGCTTAACCGACTGCGCCACCCAGGCGCCCCTCCATGAAAGTTCTTAAAGGAAATTAGTCTTTTCTTTATTTTGGTTACTCTGTTATGTCTCCCCCTCCCCCCACCAAAATTATGACATAGTAACAAAATACAAAAGCAATTTTTTAACTACCAGAAAAAAGAACCATTATTTAATCTTGCCCTATTGTCTTTAAATCACAGTAATTCTATTCAGCCAGTGAAACCCAAAAGCTCTAAACACACACAGAAGGTGTGACGCACAGGATGAAGCCCAAGGCTTGTAACCAAAAAGTCTTGGGTGAATTTTCTCACACCTACATTCGTGTTCTTGACCGAGCATCCTGCTCTCATTCATTATTTAACAAAAATGTTGTCTCAGGCACTGGTCTTGAAACAGAAAAAGATTCTTGCTATCAGGAGCTTATGCTTTATTAATGAATGACAGAAAATAAACCACAATTAATAAGTAAAATAAATTATATGTGTGAAAATAAACATAATTAGTAAGTAAAATAAATTGTATGTGTGTCGGGAGGGTTAATTCCAGCAGACCTGGAACTGGCCTCAACTGTTTTCCCCGAAGTACACGCACAGCATGCAATGTACTGATGAACAATGTTGCTTTGTAACCGAGAGTCCAAAGCATCTGGGGGCATTTGTATTCTCAAGGCCTGTCCACTGCTTATCACCAGCGGGAGGGCTCCGCTGTTGGGGGAGGTAATACACTCACAACAAGGGTACATGACCACAAACCGTAAGAGGCTCCCCCCACCCGCCTCCCTGTCACCGAGTGCTCCACAGACTCCCCAGCACGGTCACGTAGAGTCCTGCGGATCTTCACGGGCAACTGAACCTTACAAAATGGCCACCATGACTACAGTGCGTCAGCAAGGGGAAAGCACTACAGACCAAAGGAGCACAGTAGGCGACTGGGGCGCCAGGCAGTCGGCAGAGGCGAGAACTGCCACAGCACACAGGACAGTCGGAGGGGGTCTCACGGAGAAAGGAACACGGGTACAAAGCCCCACCGAAGTCAGAAAAATGGTCACATCATGGAGTTTGGGGGGAGCAGCTTCCAGACAGAGGGAACAGAAAACGTAACGGCTCTAAATCACAAACATGCTTGGGATATGTGCGCAACAGCAGGGAAGAGGGTCAGGCTGGCAGCAGAGTGAGGGAGGGGCAAGCCGAGACCCTCCTCCAAAAGCCCAAGAGACTACGGTCTGCAGTCACGTTCACTCTGCAGTTGCACTTAGAAGAGGGAAAGGGAATGTTTTCAGGCACAAGCAAACAAAGCGTATAAGCTGTCGTGACTTAGGACTCATATTAGGAAAAATGACAAAGATTAGTAATATCCAGGTGTGGTCACTGTGTAAAGAGGGGTGACTGTTCGCATCAGAGAGCGTGCACATTTCAACCCAGTAATTTCATCTCTAGATTCTACACCTGGAGCAATTAACTCAAACATGTCACATACACAATGTGCTGACTGAAAACCCACAATGATTTAAGGGTGCATGAATCCAACAAAGGCACATTTATGCCATAGAGTACAATAGGGACAAGTGAAGACGGCCTACATATGCTGTCATGAAATAGTCAAAAACACACTGTTAAGTGAAGAAGAAAACAGCAATCTCCCAAACAATATGTGTAACATTGGAGAACCTCAATCATACAAAACACGCGCGCGCATGCACGCATGTGTGCGTGTGCGTACTGGCTTCATCTGTGTACATTCAGTGTTTTACAATGAAAATACACTCGTATGATTAATGTGTTTTAAAAACATGTACTTTATTTTTAAAACAGCAAACACAGAGGGGCATCTCGGTGGCTAAGTAGGTTAAGTGCCCGACTTCAGCTCAGGTCATGATCTCAGGGTTTGTGAGTTTGAGCCCTGTGTCAGGCTCTGTGCTAACAGCTTGGAGCCTGGAGCCTGGAGCCTGCTTTGGACTCTGTCTCTCTCTCTCTCTTTCTCTCTGCCCGTTCCCCCCCCCTTCAAAAATAAATAAAAACATTTAAAAAAATTAAACCAAAAAACCACAGCAGACACAGCTATTGCTAAGTGTATCACAGAGAGTCAAGAGCCTTGCACACTCTATTTCACCTATACCTGAATGAGATCTGGGCGGACAGAGACTGAAGTTAAGTGCACCCCGTCAGTGCACTACAAATCCTGGCTGGCCTGACATAAATGGAATGGAGATAGAGGATTTAGTATTTACAGAAAATCTGAGGCACCCACGGGAACGTCTTCTCTAATCTACAGGAAACGTATGGTTCTAGTCTGTCTAATTCACTTTGGAGAAAGTCTGCAAATCTCTTCTCCAACGGGCATTCTCAAGCGCAAAGGGACTCTTAAGTTTCATAGTAAACCAGCTTACCCTCAAATAAAGAAATCACAAAGTTTTCAAATAATAAAAGAGTGAAAATGCTGCAGTTCAAATATGGATTAGACCTCAAAGTGTCTTTATGTCTGCAGAGATTTTCAATAAACAACTTACTTACTAAATAACTTGGATATTTCTGCTTCAGACTTTTGAGATTTTCCAGCTAAACAGCAGAACAAAGGTATTTTGCTGCCGACATAACAAACTGAATTCTGAAGTAGTTCCCAGAGCACCTGGATGTTTGCTGGTCTCTTGCAACTTTTAGCTTTCTGTTGGGCAAACACATCTCCTTCCACTTCTCACAAATTTAAAGGATAAATGATTTCTGTAACTTTCTTAAAAAGGCTACATGAAAAGAACAATACCAGCAGCAGCAATACTTAAGACAACTCTTGAATACATTCTAAAAAGTTTCATTTTCTAGGAATAGAAGAACGAATAAATTCATAGTTGCCACTGTCCATATTGAAATCACATACTTACTTTTTTTTTAATTAGGCTTGGTAAGTGTTCCCTGGTGTTAGCTGCAGGGAAGAGTGATTCATCAATATGTACTCCAGCTGTCCTGCATCTGTATAATTAAATTGATACAGCATAATGAGCATTTGTTTCTGTTAAATTCACATAGCATTAAATCTGCACATATGTCAGTTACCAATTTAAGAAATGCACAGGCCATTTTAATAGACGTGGCTTTTAAAGTAAGTACATCTAGGGGTGCCTGGGTGGCTCAGTTAGTTAGGCGTCTGACTTCAGCTCTGGTCATGATCTCACAGCTTGTGAGTTCAAGCCCCGTGTTGGGCTTGTGCTGACAGCTCGGAGCCTGGAGCCTGCTTCAGATTCTGTGTCTCCCTCTCTCTCTGCCCCTTTCCCACTCATGATTGATCTCTCTCTCTCTCTCTCTCTCTCTCTAAAAAATAAACATTAAAAAATAAATTAAGTACATTTATAAACAAATACAAAGGGCAATATAAATTCAACTTGTCAAAGTATTCTCTACACAGTGTTTAGAGTGTTAGAGTAGAAGCAGGCAGCGGGTAAAGGAAGCACAATTTTTCCGCGATAACTTTAGTAACATCCTTCAAAATGATCAGTGCACGGCACACACACAATTTAAGCACATGTTACTAAAGGAATAACATGAGAGTAAACAGGACAAAAAATGAGTAATGTAGAGATAGAAGGTTCCTAAAGAAACGAGGCTGGCAAGTTTACCTTGGCCCCAAAACTGGGTTCTCTGTCTTGTGTGTTTCACCCGGAGAGCAGGGTGGGCCGATGACAGCTACTCCGGGCTGTGCCCCACCCCCCAGACCTGTCTGCCCCACAACCTGCGATTCCGTTGTTCTCGCTCTGCAGCCCTTCACCTCCCTCCCTGTCTTGGGAATCCTCAGACCATTACCTACTTCTAAGCATTCAGGTGCTCAAATCTAAACAATTACAATAATTTTCTAAATGATCTCCTTACATATACTTTCTACTCTTCCCATTCATTTATATTATTAATACTGAAAGATGAAGCATATAACATTTTGTTCATCTCCCCACAACCCAATCAAAAGCCTTTGATCACTCCTATGTTAACAGAATAATTTCACCTGTTGTTTCAGTCTTTTTAAAAGTACGGCCCCTAAACCCAACTCTGACCCTATTTCATTACATTGTCACTGTTCAACATCTGTATGCAAATGACAGATGAAAATATAATTAAAATACAATGCAAAAAAAAAAGAATAGGGCAAATATATCCATATTCATATAGAAAGCTCTCTAAAATAGATTAAGAACAAAAACACAACTTCAGCAGGGACATATGGGACTGTATACTGTATATAATATGGTAAAGTATTTCTCATCGTAAGCAGTCTGGAAGATTACGCACCACACTGACAAGAGTATTTATCACTAGACTTAAGGAATCTCAAAGGGTGGTCAGAAGACCTCTAGGGTCCCCAAGACACTTCTGAGGGCATGTGAGGTCAAAACTACTTTTAGCACAAGACCTCATTTGCCTTTTTCACTTCTCACTAGCACACGACGGGGTTAAAGCCAAATGCCACCTGTGATCCCGATACAGTAAACGCAGAGGCAGATTTGGAATGCAACTGTCTTTTTATTAAGCCAGGCACGAAAGAAGTTTGCAAAAAGTGCACAACACAGAATGCAGCACAAAAACAGTACTCTGAGCACAACAACAGAGCAGAAGCCAGAGGGAGCACCTATGATGCTGTGATACACAGCAGTCAGAAGCTTTAGGTGGGAGGCGACCCCCAGACGGGCGGGTAATTCTGATGAAGAAGTGCATTGGGGAGGACACAGATCTTCCGTCGGGAAGGACAGCACAGGCAGAAGAAGTGTGACAAAGTGAACAGCAGTGTGAAAATTCTGGGAAAACACACACCACTGGGTGTGACTGCAGTGACGATGCCAGTGACAAGGAGTTCACACAGGTCACCCCAATGGCCTCATTTGCTAAGCTCCTGAGCTCGGACGGCCCTCGTCCTGTGGCCCCAGGGTGCTAGAGAGGTGGGGGACTCTGACAGGCCACTCTGCAGGGTGAGTTCCAGGACGGGGACTTTGAGGGTAAGGAGACCAGTCAGGGACTATGGGGGTAGGAGACACTACTGGTTTCACCAAAGATGTGGGACCAGGTGCAGATCTGAATGGGCAATATTTAGGAATAAAAATGGGATGTTCTTGAGCTCTTGTTAAAACTGATGGACTGAGCACATACATTTTTCTCTCCTGCTCCCAAAACCTCCGTCAAACAAGGGTAAAGGAAAACAAAACGACACAGACCAACAGAAACAAAGAGTAGATGAGAGACATCTGGGCAACTGAAAAGCCAATACAGAGAAGGAAAGCCGAGTGTAGAAGCTGAACGAGGAAGCTTGTGAAACCACAAGGGACTGGACTCCTCTCCTCATACCTCAAGGACTCGGAGGCGGGGGCAGGTCTGACATGCCCACAGTCAGGGCCACCAAAGCAGGTGACAGGTTCAGTTTTCAGATGACCTGGACCAGAGACGCACTGGACTCAAGGACACCAGGCTGAGCTCAGGTTAAGGACCAAATTTCACACAAAAGGAAATGTGTTTGTGTACACTTTCAGATTCAGCTAAAAACACCTTTCACAGCTGTAATTATATAAAGTAAAACTGTTAATTCATCAACTGCTGACTTTACGGAATCAGGAGAGGAGAAGCAGTGTGTGTGTGTGCGCACATGCGTGCGTGCAGAGGGTGGGTGCGTGTACGTGGAGTGGGGTCCCCCAGAAGGTGGCCACGGGGAAAGCTGTATTTGCACTTCCACACTAGAAAGTCTAGACAGTGTCAAAAGCCAGACGTCACAGCAGCAGTGGAGACACAGTAGCTGGGAACTTGGAGGCCCGGCAGAGCTGTGGCAAGACGCACACGCGGAGGGGCGCTACCCCGGGGCACAGGAACTGGGGGAGGGGTAAAAAGGGACCAGTGTGTCACCACAAGCCTTGCAATAATAGCTGGCTTTTCTCTTTCCTGTGTGTGAGGGGCTCCCTCTCCATAACAGGATGGGAACAGGAAACTAGGCGTTCTGATTCAAACGGATCCGGCTGGCACAACAGGGGAAAAAATGGCACCTCAAGCAAGACAGAAATGAAGCGAGGAAGTAGTGAAGAGATGACGACATGGTCAGCTCCGCACCGTTTTAAACTCAGGTGCTGTGCTTCACCCGCGAGAACTTCCCCAGGACGGACGTGTGACACTTAGAGGGCATAATGAGTAAAGACTGAGATTGCGTAAAATTCGAACCCCTTTCTGCGGTCCTGCAGGATCACATCCCTGTCCTGAGCTCCCTCTCCTCATAGATCCCAACCACTGACGCTCTGAGACCCTCAAACACACCGGCATTATTCCGCCTCAGGCCGCGACCTTCTGTTCCTCAGAAAGCTGGTCCCCCAAGTCTCCAAGCATCTAGCTCCTCTGCGCCTTCTCCGCCTCGGCTCAAAGGTCCACCAACTCCAGCCGCTAAGTAGGGTGACCAACTGCAAAAGGGCTCTGCTGCGAAGCCCCTCGAGGAGCCTTCCGAGGACGCACCACACCTTGCGCTTACAAAACCTGTTTCTTTCATGGAGAGAGTGACTATGCCTGTCTAGTGACAACATACCCCCATGCCTGGCATAGACTGAGTACTCAAAAGATACCTTCTGAAGGAGTAAATGTCATCACTATAGAAAGAAACACTGTTGTGAAACACTTTTGACCTCCTTATCTTACACCACACATACACACATGCACACTGTAGATCACAGAAATATAAAGGCCAAAACTACAAGCTCCTAGAAGAAAATGGGAGAAAAAAATTCATGATTTTGAAGTAAGCAAAGACATTCAGAGGGAATATCAAAAACACAAAGCATAAAAGAAAATAAAAAAACACACTTCAACAAAGTAAAATGCTGATGTGCTCTGAAAGACACATGCAAAAAAATAAAGAATAAGTCAGACTGAGATCATGTATTTACAGTATGTGTATCTGACAAAAAAAAATTGTTATGAACAATGTACAAAAATTGCCTGCAACTCATTATTAAGAAGACAGAAACCCAGTTTTTAAAAACAGGCAATCATTTTTAATTTAAACCAAATAGTCACTAAGCATGTGTTCTTACAATCAATTGGTACTAGTCATGAGGAAAATACATGCTAAAACCATAGGGGATCCTCAAATGTATGGTTAACTGATTTTTGACAAGAATGCCAACATTAAGTCAATGGGAAAGAATCCTCTTTTCAACAAATAGTGCTGGGACAAGATACCTAACAAAAAAGGATGAAATCAGACCCCTACCTCACACCACACACAGAAACCAGCTCAAAATGGATCCAAGGCCTAAATGTCAGAGCTAAAACTATAAAATTCTCAGAAGAAAATATTTAAGACTAAATCTTCCTGATCTTGGATTTGGCAAGTTTCTTAAATGACATCAAAAGCACAAGAAACAAAAAAGTAGAACTCAGAAAAATTAGAACCTTTTGCTTCAAAGGAAACTGTAAAGGACATATAAAAACAGCCAACAGAATGGGAGAAAATACTTACAAATCATAACAATATGAATATATGTGATATATCCATACAATGGAACACTGTTTTTTTAATAAGAAGTCAGATTCTGATACATGCTACAACATGGATAAATCCTGAAAACCTTATGTTAACAGAAAGCAGCCAGGCACAAAGACCATATATTGTATGACTCCATTTACATGACATGTTCAGAAGATGCAACACCGTGGACACAGAAGGTAGATTAGGAGTTGCCCTGGTTTGGGGGATACAGAGGGTGGTGTAAAGGTACAAGGCTGCATTCTAAGGTAATGAGAATGTTTTAAATTGATGGTGCTGGCTGAAAAACTCTGTGAATATATTTAAGAATGCTCAATTGCACCAGGCTGGCTCAGTTGGTAGAGCATGTGACTCTAGATCTCAAGGTCATGAGTTCGAGCTCCATGCTGGGTCTATGTAGAGTTTACTTAAAAAACAAAAACAAAACCTGAATTGTACACTTTTGATGGGTGAGTTCTATCTCAAAAAACTG